TGTCCTCCCATAGGTGCCAGCATGAGTAGAGGTCTCTTTTTTTCCTCTTGTACTTTCCCATTGTTGTGTACTTTTTCAGTGTTTTTCTGTAACGCTGCCGATCTCCGACTGTATTACCATGTGATGTCTATGTTGTGTGTGTAAGTCTATATAAATATATACTGCAATATATCCAGTTCCTGCATATATTGCAGGGTTTTCATGACATTACAACTCCCATGTAAGAACAGAGAATGTGCTTGCAATGATTTCACATCTTCATTTTTAATGGCAGGCCAGGATAATGTCTTTTCAATGTAAGCAGCTGCGAGTTTATATTCATTTCCAGTGTTCTTTGAGCATTTGCTTTGCTTGTATATAGCCTTGTCCTGCAGCCATATATTGGCAACTGTGTACTAGCTCTCTTGGCTGTCATGTTGTAAACTGTTCCAAATAATACAGTACAATACAATACAATTTTTTCCACTCCTTGTTCAAACGCGCCAATGAAAGAGATGTACTGAAGAGGATCACCATCGAATACAGGGATTTTCCTGGATGGTATAGATGATGAACGCTGATGCTGTTGCTGATATTTCATTTCGTCTTCATAAAATGGCACAAATATCCTCAGACTGTCTTTCTCCCACTGTAAGAATCGACCTGCGTGGTAGAGGATCCAAATTATGAAATTTTGTTGTGTTGCCTGTTTGAGCTTGTAGAGGCTCACTTTCTATTTCTGCTTGTGGTAGGATCATTGCAGATACACTGCTTTTAGTATTGCAGGTTTATCTTCTTTGACTGGTGTACTGGGCTTGACAGCGGCTGCAGCTGCAGTTTTTCCTCTATGCGACCAAGTAATGCGGCTTTTTCTGCATTTGCTTTTATTCTTGCAGAAGAGGTTGTGCTTACTTCAGTGATGGAAGTGATATATCAACAACATTTGAAACACTGTCCTCTGGGTTAACACCATCATCAACACCATTATTACCCTTTACATTCAAATGTTCGCAACCAGATAAGCACTGTCTCACTTCATATGCAAACTTATCAAAAGACAATATTTTTGCTTTAAACCATGTTTCATGCTTTTCTTTTTCATCATCTAGTAACAAACACATGAATGGACCATGAACAGTTTTTGCTCCATTACACAAAACAACTAAATCACTGAATGAATCTTGAACCATGGAGGTTTTATTCAGAATCAGAATCAGAATCAGAGAGACTTTATTTATCCCCAAGGGACAATTAAGATACAACAGAGCAGCATGACATTGAAGATAAGGACAGGGCATAAACAGACAATAAATACACGGAATATATAGTATATACACAGTTTTAAAATTACACAGTTTTAAAATCAAAGTGACTGAATAAGTGAATAAATAACTGTAAGTGACTAAAAGTGAAAAAAGTTTCAGCAGTATAAATGAGTGTGGGAAATGGTCTTATCGGCTGGAGTTAAAAACCAGAGTGGCTTTGGGGACAAAGGTGGCTCTCCTCCTCTCAGTCCTGCAGGAAATGCAGCAGAGGCGCCACCCAGAGGGGAACCATTGAAACCCCTGAAGAGCGGGCCCGTGGCGTTGTGAAGGGCCTGACAGTAGTGACAGGAGAACTGTGTCGTCAGCATATTTCACCAGGTGACAGTTGGGCTGTGTGGATCTGTAGTCATCGGTGTAGAGGATGAAGAGCAGGGGGGAGAGCACACAATGCTGGGGGAAGCCAATTATTTTTAATTGAGGCCCGTTATACTCTCTTTTAGATGGTTAGCTTTATTTAATCTACATTTTCTATTTGCAGTCTTATCCAGTTTCTAACAAACAAACACCACTCAGGTGTTTCCGATCCCCATGATCGGAAGGCCGGGGGCTCCAATCCACTGAATGGCTACTCTGAGGTACCCCTGAGCAAGGTACTGTGCCTACACACTGCTCCCCATGTGCCCAGTGGCTGCCCACTGCCTCACTGAGTGAATGGGTGAGAGGATTTTCCCATGGGGATCTATAAAGTTCCACTTCCATCAATTTCATTTGTTTTCAACAGTTCTCTTTATTCAACACTATATCACAACAGCTCAGCAGCCACAAACTGTTTGCTACTTACGAACAACAACACACCTGCTGCTAATTACACGTGTCTACCTTAAATACATTCCCATAGACATACCATATCCTAAAACATAAATATTGACCCCTAGCGGCATTCATAAGGTACACACAGAAAAAATGTCTCCTACACTGCATGCATGCTCCACTGCATTTGCCTCTGGTGATGCAGAGGGCTACAAAAAAGGCCAGATATGACCTACGAAAATCCATCAGGGAAGCTAAGAGGCAGTACAGACTGAAACTGGAAGGATACTACAACAACTCAAATTCCAGATGCATGTGGCAGGGTCTGCAACAGAGGAGCAGCAGGGTCACAGTCAGCTGCAACATGCTACCAGATGAACTGAGTTCTATGCTCACTTTGACACCCTCAACACCAACCAACACAGGCAGCACAGTCACTCACTGTGACTTCGACCTCTGAGGAGGACTAACCCCCGAAAAGTAGCCGGCCCTGACAACATCCCTGGCCGTGATTTGAGGGTCTGCTCTTCAGAGCTGGCTGAGATGTTTACAGATATTTTCAATTTCTCCCTCACCCAGTCAGCTATGCCCACATGCTTCAAATCCACCACCATGTTGACAGTCATATACCATATCAAAGAAGCCATCTCGGACACATTAGACCCTCTGCAATTTGTTTATTGGAGGAAACGTCCTACTGAGGACACCATTAATGCAGCCATCCACACAGCCCTCTCACACCTTGAAAAGCAGGACACCTATGTTTGAATGTTCTTTATAGACTACAGTTCAGCATTCAACACCGTCATCCCAAACAGATTGATGGGGAAGCTCTCTATTCTTGGACTAACACCCCCCGTCTGTTGCTGTGTCCTGGATTTCCTCACAGGCAGACCTCAGGCAGCCAGAGTTGGTACCAGGACATCAGATACAAAGATAGTGGGCACAGGGACTCCCCAAGCCTGTGTGCTCAGTCCACTCCTGGATACCTTCTTCACCTATGACTGCATCCTCTCCAAGAGCAACACCTCCATCATTAAGTTCACTAATGAGACAACCGTTGTCAGGCTGATTACTGGTGGATAGGACACTGCTTACAAGAAAGAGGTGGCTCAGCTGGTGTCCTGGTGCCTGGAAAATAATCTCTCCTTACATTCTGAGAAGACTAAGGAGATGTTTATTGACCCAAGGATGAGGAGAGACCAGCATGCCCCACTACACATCAACGGGACCTTCAAATTCCCCACATCAGTGAGGATCTCACCTGGAGCCAAAACACATGGCAGATCATCAAGAAGGCTCAACAATAACTCTTCTTCCTAAGGAAGCTGAGAAAATTTGGATTAACCTCCAAACTTGTTAACAACTTTTACAGATGCACAACGGATGTGGTCGCAAATTTTGAAGCCATTCTAATACCTTCTCCCACCAACGATGTGGAGATCCAACCTCTTTAGATCCAATTAAAATCAAGACAGTCAAAAAGATGCTCTGGAAAAGAGTAGAATTCTTGGAACAGAGTTTAATACACTGAATCATATGAACAGAAGAAAAAATACATACAGACATTTAGCAAGAAAATTACAAACCAGAAAGCAAGCAAAGCAAAACCCCGGGGTGTACAGCCTTAAGCACAGACAGTAGAGAAACACAGAGACGGACAGAGAAAAACAGCAGAGGGAAAAAAGTGCTGGGGTGTCCTCTGGTCCCCTAATATATAGGGACCAGTACCCCGCCCCCTGCTGCTGGGTAACTTTTCCACCCGTCCTCCAACCAAACACAGCTGCAGGGGTCAGGTAGCGGCCAAGGTCTTGGCCAGAGGCCAGTCAGGACTCCGGCTACCGTTTGGCTTTGGCTTATCACAATAGGTCATGACACAGTCAAACATCACACATTAATCCTAATTATTAAATCTTACACAGCAAGTGGCACAATCTTATAATATATAATCTTATAACTACATAGGTTACATGCTTTCTCATATATAAAAACACAGCTGCGGGCCCAAGGCTGGAGCTGAACAACAACTCCCTGATAACGACTGTGTGTTGACTATTCTTCCCATTCTATGCAAGGCCACCTGGGTTGGCTGGCAGACTGTTTACTTAGCCTGATAGGGCGAAGGACACTGTCTCAGCTGAACTCTGGACACGCAAACACACACACTTACACTGATAAGCACGCACTCATCCCCCCCCCTTTCCAAACGCCTTTGATGCTTGTTTCCTGTGGGGGAAGACGGCGGGTCTGGGTGCCGCGCTGGAATAGTAGCGCTGTGCAGGATGACTGCTGTGTTTCCTCCTTCTCCTCACTCCCTACCCAACCCCTGTGGCTTGTCACGTGCTCCAATGTTGTAATGTGGACATTTATGTGCTCTCTATGCAGAGGAGTTTTTTTGTTTCCTGTTCTCATGCTGTCCTCCCATAGGTGCCAGCATGAGTAGAGGTCCCTTTTTTCTCCTCTTGTACTTTCCCATTGTTGTGTACTTTTTCAGTGTTTCCTCTGTAACGATGCCGATCTCCGACTGTATTCCCATGTGATGTCTTTGTTGTGTGTGTAAGTCGGGGGCGG